TATACCATATCTTTCTAACTTGTGAAGTAGGCTCCTTATCCAAACTCGATCGAAAGCCTTGCTTACATCAGCAAAAGTTAAACTTGTATAAAATTTTTTGTCTAAAGCATACACGATAGAATGGTGCATCTCAATTAGTTGATGAAAAGTAGAGTAGCCGGGTTTGAAACCAGACTGAAATTTATACAAAAGTTTATTAGAAACTAAATGATTGAACATATGTTTATATATTATTTGTTCTAGTACCTTGCTCACGCAAGAAAGAAGCGATACTGGTCTATAATTAGACGGCATTGACTTATCTCCATTTTTAAATAAAGGAATAACATATGCCAATTTCCAATATTTAGGAAATATATTTTGAGAGAGCGATTTATTAAAAAGAATACATAAGGGAAGTGCAATTTCATTTTTTACTGTTATGAGCATTCTATTACTGATTTTGTCTGGACCAATAGCTTTCAAATTATTTGGATCTAAAGTAGAAATAACATCTGTAACGTCTTCTAAAGTTACAGTAATTTCTGACAAAACGTTAATACCTCTATCATCGAAGTCAGGCAAATTTTTGTTTTCTTCATCTAGACTAGCTATTGAACAAAAATATCTATTTAGAATATCAACTTTTTCTTTTGCATCATAAGAAAATTCAAAATTATTACTAGGGTTTTGCATCGGTGGAATATCATTTGAAGATCTGTCTTCTTTTAATAAGGAGTTTATGATTTTCTAATATACTCTACAATTTGTTTGCTTGAGTTCATTTAAGTTTTCATTAATATTTTCATAAAAATTTTGTTTAATTTGTTTCTTCAAATTATTCACTCGATTCCTTTGGTTTTTAAATTTCTTTTCGTTTGTAGTGCTATTATTTTTTTTTTAATTTTTCCGAAACCTGTCTCGTTTTCTTATTTCTTTAAGGAGATTTGAATTAAACCAGATTTTATCATTAGATCGAATAATTACTTCTTTTTTCGGAATGCAAGATTCAATCACTTTCAAAAATTCGTCGGTAAATATATTCCAAGATTCATGGATGTTAATATCATTATCCAGTAATTTATTCCATTCGACCTCTGAAACCATCTGTTTCATTAAATTATAATCCCCCCTTTTATAGTCCCATATTGTACGTTTGAAACTCTTCGAGTTACTGAACCCGCTTCTGACTGTTATGTAAGTACCTTCATGATCACTTATGTCTCTATTGATAGGTATAATACCCGAGTCAATAAATTGAATGGAATCAGTTATTAATATTGGGTCTAATAAGGACAACGATTGAACCAGTTCGTGAATCAAAATGAGTAGCATCGTTAATTGTATTAAATAGACCATTTATACTTAGTATATCACTGATACAGTTAGGTAGGTTGAGAAGGAAATTTTTATTTAGATCACCCAAACAAATATTATGATTAGTTTCGTCTAATGTCCTTTTCAACATCCTATCGTATAGCGACCAAAAATTGGGACAGTGAAAAGCGCTCAGATCGATAAGTAATGTTTATCAATATCACGTGCAATTTTGTTTTCAGCTCAAACCACATAATTTCTAGACTATCATGCTCCAAATCAAGGCGCCGCTTTATTTTAATGTTACTTTTATAATACAAAATAACTCCGACTCCATCGGAGTTCCTGTCTTTCCTTATTGGTGTTTCAAATTCCGGGAGTGCTATTTTTTCGTTGGTAATAAAAGGGGCCAGATGAGTTTCTGAAAAAAATATGATATCGAAACTCTTCTATAACATTTGAAAAATAATCCAGTTTGTTTCTCAAACTGCGTATATTACAGTGTAAAATTGATATACTTTGGTCTGAAATGTCAACTGTATTCGCAGGGCCTGGATTTGATTTAACAACTCCTGCCAAAATCAACATATTTACATATATAAGACAAATAAACAAGAATGATAAAATGTTTTCCAGCATGGATAATTGGTTTTCAACTAAGCAACAAAGCCATAGTATAAATGATTGCGTTGGATAAAAACCGCAATTTTTATACGTGTGCATGCAAAACAAATTTCTTGGTAGAAGGGTCTAAATACAGCAGAAACAACATTTTCCAAAAGACCAAATGAGTGAAAAGTATATTTTAACAAAACGCATTTGACTAGCAGGTCGAACAACTGATGTTCTTAAACCCTGCTGACTGCCATTGGCGATTGCCAAATAAACGGATCACAAGATGTAACAAAATAGATCTTATTATTAATTTATTATTAAACAGAAAACAATAAACATGCGGAAAAGGTGGTATACCGCAAACATGAGGTGCAAAAATTTGTACACCATATCCGGATTTCGACAAATAATGTCTCTTCAGTGATGTTAGGAATCGAAACGGTATTTGGAAGGCCATATAATTTACCTCAATTTAGGATAGACTCTTGAATTTTGAAATATATATATATTAAAGTTATAGATTGCCTAACAATGTAATTTTAACACACTATTTAGTATGTAAATATTAGAATGTTTAAAATATTTACAAAACGATAAAAATAAACGCAATATTTCGCTAGACAAACTAGCTTTATCAAGCGTGCATCTATCCATGGGAAATGGATAGATTTTAATAATAACAGTCACCTGGAGATTGCCAGAAGGCATGAAAGCGCTAGTGACATTATTTTAACGAACTGTTATTATTTGATGTGAAATGTAGTCTGCGAATTTTATATTTTAATATATATATTCTGTACACCGTATTTATTTACTTTTGCTATATATATATATATATATATATATATATATATATATATATATATGCAGTCAACAGGGTTTAAGCACATCCGTTGTTCGACCTGCTAGTCAAATGCGTTTTGTTAAAATATACTTTTTCACTTTTTTGGTCTTTTGGAAAATATTGTTTGTGCTGTATTTAGACCACTCTACCAAGAAATTTGTTTTGCATGCACACGTATAAAAATTGCGGTTTTTATCCAACGCAATCATAGGTTTGAACGTTGTTTTCAATTTAGACTTGTTTATATATATATATATATATAAACATATGTAGGACTCTAAAGTGCGATGGAACCCTAAAGTGCGATGGTCACGCTAAAGTGCGATGGTCTACTCTAAAGTACGATGGTGTCTAACGCTAAAGTGCGATGGTTGTTTGTTTTCTAAAGTACGATGGTATATCACGCTACCGAAAAAAAAACCTCATTTGCTTCAGCCGACAAAGCACGGTTAGGTTTAAATTAATTAAGTCATGGATATTTGGTTTAAAAGTTGTTAATCAAATATTCTTAATTTATCTTTCAGCATGTTAATTTTTGGTTTGTATAAACGACTGTTAACGTCATAATCCAACTACGTTTCTTACGTCTTTACTTTCGCGCACCATCGGACTTTAGCGTATGGAGGCATCGCACTTTAGCGCAGACCATCGCACTTTAGCGTGACCATCGTACTTTAGCGTCCCAATCGCACTTTAGAGTCCTACATATATATATACATATCTATATCAAAACGCGGTAATGAAACAGTATGATTTTATTGTCTCGCCTTGACCCAGTCAAAAAGCGAGACATAGGTATGCTGATTCCGGCGGCGGCGTCAACAATGTATTAGTTTGTGATAAGGTCTAGTTTGTGGTGTACCACTAGTGATATTTGGTATGCAGTTGTATAAGCATTGGCACATTTCATTTCCATGGATATTTTTTGGCCCTGACCTTGGTCATGATCTATTAACTATGAAATTTTTGCTTAGTTTACATGTATTAGTTTGTGATTATGTCAGTTTACGGGAAACCACTAGTGGTAGGTCAATGATATTTGGTATGCAGTTGTATAAGCATTAGCACATCTCATTTCCATGGATAATATTTGGCCCCGCCCCCTCAGTCATGGTTTATTGACTTTGAAACTTTTGCTTAGTTTACATGTATTAGTTTGTGATTAGATCAGTTTAAGATGAACCGCTAAAGTTAAGTCGGTGATATTTGGTATGCAAATTTATTGGCAGTTGTTAGTCTCGTTTCCATGGAGATTATATAGCCCCACCCCCTCATCATGATTCATTGGCTTTGAAACTTTTACATAGTTTACAAGTTAATGTTTGTGTGTAGGTTTGTTTAAAAGAAACGACTTATGATAAGTCAATGGAATTTGATATGCTGTTGTATTAGCATTTGGACATCTCATTTCCATGGAGATTGTTTAGCCATGTACCTTCAGTCATGGTTCATTGATTTTGAATATTTGCATAAATTACATGTTAAAGTATTACTATTTTAATTTCAACATTTGCATTATCAAAATTACAAAAAGGCGAACCATATCTCTGTGTTAACAGTTTATTTATGTTTTGGTATTTCGAGAGTTTGTGATCCCTTCTATGGCTATAGAGCTCTATGAATATCTTTTAGAACTGACAACACCACAGCTTTGATCATGAAGGTATGAATAGTAGAAACTTGCTCTGTAGGAATGTTTAGTATTTAGTTTGAAATTCTGGCTTCTCTGTAATGCTAAAGTATAACTAGTTCTCAAGACAATTCCAACTGGACTATTCTCTTAATATTAGATAATAAATGTGGTTTTTACCTGGCTTTTGCATAATATACAAACAGAAAAAAATACTAACATATCCGGAGGGCCTTTTAATTCGTATTGCTCAAACAACCATCTTAAAATCTTATGTAATCTTTGTTATATTTGTAAACCAAAATATTTCGATTGGTTAACAACGACCTGTACAATAGACATCATACCAGTAGCCTAACATTGGTTTCATTTTGGTGTACGAATACTGAATTTGCTCAAAATTTTTTAGATTTTGAAAATATGAATATTGTTATGGCGCTGTTTTAAGTATTGATGGCCTGGTCGATATCTTTTGGGTTGTTTTATTATATCATAGCAATTACCTATATCACTTCCAGTAGTTTCATTAATTTGTAGTATGTTTTGGTTAAATTAGAGAAGTGGCTGCCTTCGCAAGAGCAAATAAAATTTGTTTTACATTTTATTATATTTTAGGGTGCCAGACGGCGAAAACGGTTTGTTGACGAGCTTTCAAAAATAAATAAGAGTGCGTTTTCTGATTATGATGAAATGTTTGACAACTATGATGATAATGATTATGAGTTTGGCGACCAAAAAGACGAAAGACTTGAGATTTTATCATTGTTTAGAGAGTTATATAAAGACGAAGATAGGTTAGCTTCTGTTTCAAATTCAATGCAGACTGTCGATTCGATAATGTTTTTGGGGCTAGAATAATGCCCGGTTTAGCTTCTTAAACGCTTAGATAAAACTGAAGAAAAAAAATTAAAAAAAAAACCATATGACATATCCTTTTCGTATGTTTTCTGCCTTAAGAGTGAACCCTTAATAAGCTGTTTTTGTTTCTGAACAACTAAAATTTAAGGTAGTAAATCTACCATGTCAAAGATGAGAGAAGATACACAATATAAAACATGATACTTACTTGCTATATTTACAAATCATATACAAAAGTTCCTCTTTCTCTAAAATGACCCGAAAGTTCTATGTTGTGATTTGAATTTTGACTTGATATATTTTACTAACATCTCTTAATATTAAAGATTACACCCTTCAAGACAAGTAATTTTGGTACCTCTGAGATAAACCGGTCCGTCCTCATTGAAAACACCTGTTACATTGTACAACGCGTCCATTAACTCTCTGTTATGAGTCACTTGATTCCGGTAATAAAAACAAACCCTCGTCAAGATGTCCTAGCAAAAGGTCGACACAAAGCATACTAGTATATTGCTGTTGTCGCATCGGGAGATATCATCTTCATGAATACTATACTAGTGTGTATTTTCCGATGCACATTAAGCAGTGTGGCACCGTTAAAGTCCACAATTCATCTTAAGTCCACAACACCGCTAAAGTCCACAACAAATTTCCGCTAAAGTCCATAACGCCGCTAAAGTCCACAATCTTTCCTCTAAATTCCACAAAATGACCTCCGCTAAAGTCCACAAAAAACACCGTTAAAGTCCACAATAACAAGTTCCGCTAAAGTCCACAAAAAACACCGTTAAAATCCACACAATTTGTTTTTAATTAAAAAAACATTTCGCTTTTTTTTTTTTTTTATCTCAGTCATCAATTACAAAGTCATTTGCGATTATTTGATTTCTTAACAATGAATTCAACATTTCCTTTACAGGGACAACAAAGTAGAAATGGGACACCAAATAGAAGAAATGATGATATCGTGTACTGTTGGAAAATATAAATGTTATGCAAGGTGATACTAGACTCAGTAAACTTTAGCTGATATACGAAATACAAAAAATCACGCCTCAAACATTTTTATTGTTAAAAATGATAATGAAATAATGATCGCAATCTAAAAGCACGTACAATTGTATTTTCAATTTTCAACTCAGGTTAATTTTCTTATATATACATGCCATTTATACAATACCTTTGGAAAATGAGTTCAGCTTATTTAATATCGACAACATCCACCGGAGTTCTGTTGTATGTTGTTCTGTATCTGGGACATTCTGTAAATTTTTAACAAGATAAAAGAATTTTCCAACAGTTTGATTTAATGCGTTTCTTCTACAAAATACTCATCAGTGACGCTCGAATCTAAAAAGTGAAAATCAAAATTAAGTACGAAGTTGAAAAGCACTGAAGATCCGGAATCCCGAAATGTTTTGCAAAATACAGCTAAGGTAATCTATTTATGGGTAAGAAAATCTTTAGTATTTAGAACAATTCAAAGTTTTGTAAACAGCAAATTAATAAATATGACAATATCAATGATATTTCATGTCTACATAGAAGTGCAGACTACTGGGCTGGTGATCCAATTGGAAAAAGAAGATGTAGAAAGTTGTTTTTTAAATTAAATAAAATTCATGATGCAACAGAAAAGTTATGTTTAAAAAGACATCTCAGTCGATAACAGCAAATTAAATGCTTTCCTCCTTTTTTTTGTGTTTTCCTTTATTGATGAAATGTAGTTAACATCATCGATTTAGATACAGAATGTGTAATGTTCAATTAATATGTATGTAATTGTCAATTAGTTATCAATTCACTTAAAAATATTTGAGAGGAAATTTGATATGCAAGGCAAATTAAAAAGTTTCTAACGAAATCGATGAAATTGCTTACACTGAATGTCATATTGATTATTTGCGCTGTTAGAATGTATGCTTTTGCTACTGTGTATCTTTTTGAACTGTCCACTTGATTCTATTGTGGAGAGAACAAGAAGACCTCTTCTTCTGACATATATATATACCTTTTTTTAATATCTTTTATTAGTTATAACAGAATATCTATAAATATTAAATCAATAGAAGGACAAAATTAATATCCTTTTAATATAAAAATCGAGGGATGTGGTATGATTGCAAGGTCAGTTATACTAGCTAAAAATCAACCTTGACAATTGAAAACAACAACTGAAAATAGTAAGTATAGTCCCATCTTAATTTTACATAGTATACTATGTTATTAAAGTATAAGTCTTTTGATTTATAGTTAATTATAATATGCAGAAATATTTTAGAGCTACAAAATGGGTACTCAATCCCTTTATTGCAATAATTATTTTTATAGATTAATTATTGGTTGCTTAACGTCCGGTGGCAAGTAGTTCAAGGTCAAGAACAAATAAAACAACAAATTAGTTAGGTAGCCCCTGCAATATGGGTAGTCCGGAATGAATGGCGGGAAATTTTGGATACCACTGAAAAAGGCTATATCTTGCTATAATCAGTAATTTTGTCTAGCAATAGTTTTTCTGAAAGTTATTTTAAGCTTTCTTACGAGAACGCGACACTTTCAAATCAAAGGGCATTTGGCTTTTATGTCTCATTCCAATTGGGCGTGCCTGCTTATTTATACATATACAATTCTTTCAACTGTTGGATCCTGACTAAACTGAAAATTCGACAAACCTTGAAAAAAGATACAAAGTGAAGCAATACAAATATTTAGAAGAAGGATAGACAACATAATGACAAAAACTATAATAAAAAGACAACCAATAGTTTACAATATATTGAAAAAAAACTAAAGACTTGACAGTAATCGTCCAACTTAAACCAAGGATAAACTAAGGCGCTGCGAAAGGGTAAATAGTCCCTATTCAGTGGTCGGATAGCTTGAAATCAACCTCGGTACACTTGTTACTGTTATTTTTTAAAAAGGCAAAATATATAAAAAAAAAAAATATTACGTCATCCGGCTATAGTGTATAGCATAGATACATCTATGTGTATAGCGATCATTGTGTCTGATCATCCGTTCGTTCTTCATCTGTATTTCCTCCTAAACAAGTGATAGAATTTCATAGAAATATTATAAAATCTTTCGTATTTAATGTCATCATGCAAATCCAATTTTATTTTTGTTCCAAATGGTTATTGAGGTTAGCGATAATAAAACATTAAAGAGTTTGCGATATCTACAGAATGGTGTAGTGATCTTGAATGGTTGACCTTTTTGAGGCACAAGTATTTTGGTAGGATTGTTGGTAAATCTGTTAAGGTTTACCATTAAGTGTTTAAATGAAATTCAATGTTTTTCCCTTTTTATTTTCATATTAACCATAGTGATGTCAGTACTTCTTTGACTTGTGATTTTGTCTGCCTTTTGGCATCATGTTTTGTATCCAACAACCTCACTAAAACACAAACTCGAGTTCAATAAAAACCCTCATAGAATTTTCTACACTTAATGTCATTGTGTACACTTATTTTTTAATGAGCTCAGAGTGACCTTAAGTTTATAATAATAACAAGATTGAATGTTAAAATTTCCATCTGAAAAACATATGTTTATATATTACAGCAATTTCACGGTACTACAACACGATATATATGGTAATTGTTACACGCTGAAAACTGGAAGTTTAAAGATTACTAAAGCAGGACCATCAAATGGTAACCTATTATTATAGCTTATAATGTAAACTTTACATTGTACTGAATATATTTTAAAGAGTATATCACATGCAGTCCTTAAATTCTAAATCAAATGGAAATGAATTTTGGGGAGAAGTGAATTTCGACGATATACCCAGTGAACCCGAATAAAAACATACGGAAATCGTTAAGTATGAAATGTCATTAAAATTGATCATGGCATTGAAAAATTGCCTAAAACAATGTAAAAACGTATAGCACATTTTAAAACAGAAAAAACATACTAAAATATATCTTTTAGGACTCTCATTAATTCTATATATGGACAAAGAAGAATACCTCAAACAAATCAGTGAAGGATACGGGGCGCGAATACAGGTCCATGACCGTGACACCTACCCATATCCAGGAGAGGAAGGTTTTTTTGTACCATCAGCAAGTGAAACACAGATAGGTTTACGCATGGTAAGATATTTGATAATTTCCTTAATAGCTGGTTGCCTCATGGACAACAAACACGTCTTCTGTGGCAATAACAATCGAAAATGTTACCCATGAGAATTGCTGTACTGATTATAAACATGAATTGATGCATGTTTATTTAGATTGCTTACACAGATAATTCAAATAATTGTTTAAAAATTACATTCAAGGTTATGGAAGTAAAATATTAAGTACATGTACCAGCCCATTTAAGAATTATGTAAAATGGGATTCTTTGGTGGACAGTATACAAATAAAAAAGTTGGTATCTATTTAGGATAAAAACATTATGCTAACATTTATATATAGTTTTTTATATGGATTCTTACCAGGTTAGGTATAAATTCTATAGAATGCCTTATAAACTCGTGTGGAGGGATGGGATGGGGGTAGTCAAATAATATCTTATTGTTAATTGTATGCCAATTATTGTTCTGGTAATGCAGTAAATGGAAAATATTACTCACTCAAGGCTCCGTGTTGAAGAACGTACTTTGACCTATAATGGTTTACTTTTATAAATTTTGACTTGGATGGAGGGTTGTCTCATCGGCACTCATGCCACATCTTCTTATATCTATTTGTAGTCTTTCATGAAGTGTATAATATATTAATGTTCTTCTTGTAATTATGATTCTTATATGAGAAGATTCCCGATGTGTTTTAAATTATGTAACCGTTGAAAATCTTGAGCATTGGTACATGATGCATTTGATAAATCCGTGGATTACTATAACAAGATGAACATATTTGGAGCATTCGGTGATGAAGGCATATTTTTGTAATTTCTTCTTAATCTATGGGAAATATTTTTATACACAGTACTGATGATCGTATGATCTTTTGATGTCTTTTGGTTATTTTTTTCGTTGAGTTCCTGCCTTATTGACGTATATCCCATATAGCTCTTGTAATTCATATGTGTACGTATGTGTACGTTCTTTAATCTAAGTTTATGTAATTAAATTTATATCAATTATGAAAAGCCTAGATTAAATTCTGCATAAATTTTCAGATGCATTAATGCGGCATACATTAATAAAGACATTCATCATCAAAATGAACTATTAGCACAATCATTGCCAGTTTAATATTGAACAGATATATCATGTTAAGGAGGGGTATTTGCGAAAAATACCAGTCGAGAGAATGTTAAATTTCGCGAGCCGTAAGGCGAGGGAAATTCATTCTCAAGACTGGTATTTTTCGCAAATACCCCTCAAGAACATGCTTTATCTGTTTAATTACACCGAATGTTAACGTACAAAACGCATTGATGATCGTGACATAAAACGCATTGATGATCGTGACATTACAAGCGTCCAGTCGGATAGAGTATTTTTTGGCAAATACCACGGCAGAGAGGGTAAAAAAGGCATATCTTTTTTGCATATACCCTGGCGCTGTTTAAAAATGAACGATATTCATATGATAAAAGTAAATTGGTGAAAAATACACTGGCTATCAACCAATCAAAACCCAGGATTCTTACATAAGGTGTAATTATTTGTCAAATCATCGCTCATATAAACTACTCATATTCTGGATTTATTCTCTTTTCAACCAACAAAATTTGCATGAAACTTTGGCACGTTGAACACTTACTGAAGATCAAAAAAATAATGCGTTAATCTATTTTTTTAGATAGATATAGGAAGATGTGGTATGAGTGCCAATGAGACAACTCTCCATCCAAGTTACAATTTATAAAAGTAAACCATTATAGGTCAAGGTACGGCCTTCATGTATTGTTGAAAGATTTCTTTAAAATAGACTTTAATAAATTATCAAATCTCCAAAACCAATGAATAGATTTTTCTTTCAAATTGATATGTTGTTGATACATAATTTCTGTTTTATTGATGTAAAATAATGAAAGGTTCACCAACTTCGTTTTTTCGGCATAGCTTGCATCAGTCAAAGTGGTGCTCTAGGTGAAAAAAAATACAAAAAAACGTAGAAATGAGCGTAATGTTGACACGTTTTAAAGCCGTAAAACGTCGTATTCGACGTTTTCCACTCAGGCACTTGTTTCTGAAAAAAAATATCCTAAACTATTGGTTGATATATATATATCAAAAACGAAGTTTGTGACCCTATGATTATTGTATGTGTCAACACTATATCTATTTTGAAGAAAAGTCTATGACTTTTTTGTGTAAGTTTTAGTGATTTGATGATTTTACGACAAAGGAGTAGATTTAATAAAGCCCCAGTATGGCTCCAATTTCTAGCTTTAATTTTGAATAGGGATTTGTTGACCATAATAAATCATAGCTGAAACAATGACTAGATATAGGAAACATGTCTCTTTGTTGGAAATTTATGAATCGGCGTATATAGTGTAATGTGGACTTGTTTGTCTTTTCATCGTCTTTCGTTTCTGCCATGACATTGTCAGTTTCTCTTCGACGTATTACCCGCTTTCTTTGTTTACGTCTTCTTATGTATTTAGGTTACAATCGAACGACAGGACAAACCATACGGAAATTGTACTGATGATATATATTTACGCAAGTATGGATACAAGTATACAAGATCTGTGAGTACATAACATTTATCCGATACCTGTTATCAGTTAAAATGCTTATAAATATGAATTAGATAAGGGGTTGCAACCAAAACAATAAGTCGAAGGACAAACAACTTCATGTCAAAACAAAACATACATGATATTTGTTATTACCTTTTCGACAAAACACTCAGTTGTAAAGTTAAATAGCCATGTTAAGACTACATGATCATCCAATACAGGTCAAGGTCCATTAAATAGGTTTGACATTAACCTTTGAAGAGTTATGCCCCTTACGTATCTTAAACATTTAATTTCTCATCACTTGGCGTCCGTCGGAAACGATTGTGTTATATCTGAAATCTATAGAATAATAGCGAACTGTAAACAGAAAATACAGGTGTGCCCTACCATGTAAGTAAACAATAACATTGAATATTAGAGCTTGAGTTAGAGAGGGGATCCCATCAACTTAAAAGAAGAACAAGATCTGAATATCAGCATTGTTTCAGACTGTCAATAAAACATGTTTAAATAGTTGTTCTTTGCATAATTTAATAGCATGTACTAATATAATTTAAGTTTTGTCAGACCTTATGCTCCCAGGAATTGTTCTTCAAAACATGTGGTTGTTATGAAGATGATGTGACGGAACTGTATTACCAGATTAACACCGGAGCAAACGAAAAATTTTGTGAAACAAGACAAGGTAACGACCAACCAACAAAGATTTCATTAATGTATGTGGTTCTTGAAATTCAAGCAAAAATAAGAAATTTAATACAATTTGCATGTTGGAAATGGATAACATTAATAAAATCGTATACAGACAGCCACAAAATATCTTGAAAGTTTGACACATGATGGAAGTGATCCTTATGACATTTTTTACTTTTGTCAAGGAGTGGACTTATAGTCCTAGTTAAATGCCAAAATATAAAAAGCATTGGAAAAGGAAGCTGTGTTGTATACCCCAATTATACTGCAATCAGCTATTTTACTATACAGATAAAGCTATACGTATAAACGTTAGCTTTATACGTCAATGACCTCAACTAACCTATTAGCCACGCCTACTTACCGGAACTACTGTATTTCATCAGCAATGTCACGTCACAACCATGACAACGTGTAGTAACAATTGTCAAACTTTTGTAAATTTAAACTTGTTATGTCTTGAAATTCGTAATTTACATACCATGTTTATTAAATATTATTAAATTAGTTTATTTTCTCTTTCTTATTCCTAAAAATGTCAATGTCTTATCGCCTGGACTTTATGAGTTCCTACTTATAGGGAAATACACAACAATGGTACCCCAAGAGGGAAATTCCAAACACTTTTTTTTTAACAATAAATTTGTTACGTATTTTATTTTTATTTTTATGTTTTTTATCGATTTCAGTATAAAGACAATATACGTACAGTGTCTTGAAATATGAAATTTATTTGTATTCGGCACGAAACAGGGGAAAATGCTCGGTAAACCTCGCATTTCCCCCCGTTTCTTAGCCTCATACAAATAAATTTCATATTTCAAGACACTATACGTATATTGTCTAATGAGACAGCAATCAAACGACAAAAAAATCAAAAAGACGTCTGGAGTACTTCTTGAATATGGTTTCACGTTCAATTTTATCTTCATCTAAATTAATCTGAAAAGGTGGAAAATAAGACGTGGAAAAACTGTATGAGTTATAAAGAAGTAATAAAAGATATTGACTTTGAATGCTGTTGTAATGCCATGTCTATTTTTGTATTTGATAGTTGAAGAATGACGGAAATCACACATTAACTGTTTCATGAATCTTATGCATTAATCTTTTCACATTTACTTTACTAACAACTCAGTCAGTATATATTAGGCTCGTAAGTAAAATAAAGAGGGAAAATATGAACCAATATTGCCGTAATGAACATTTTACTTTGTTGACAGAAATCAAATGCATGAGTAGAGAACGAGCGAGGCAAAACAAACAAAAAGCAGAATGTGACTGCAAAAACCCTTGTAGGTACGTCAGTATTTTTTCAAGTATTATACATTTTTTGTTTGTTTGTGGTACATAAAATTCAAGTATCACTTTTTCGTTTAACATACTGATATTTGGTTCAACTGTACTGTTTATTCAAGACTATAAGTATGCTAAGTTACTATGACTAAATGGGATAAAACTTATTTTATATATTTTATTGTACCAGGCTGTTCTTAAACATATCACGATACTTTCTTTTGATCACTGTTCCGTTCAATCACCACGTCGTTTATATTTGGCTTTATTGTTATGTTTCGTTTTTTTATTGGTTTTGTTGTTGTCTATTTGTTTAAATCTGGCTACGGATTGAATTGCAGTCATATCTCTCTGTATGGGATAATACACAAAAAGATTGCTACGTTGTAGCCAAATGCTTCCCCCCCCCCAAACCACACACACACACACAATCGCGCTGTGTCTTGTAAACGATAGTCCAAATATGGTAAAAGTCAGTAAATACAAATTATGGTACAATTAGGTCAACTAAACATAATTTCAAACAATCCTATAAGTATAAGAATTTTCTGTCAAATGGTCTCAGAGGAGTTGCGTTAACAAAGTGACTCTTTTGCAATACTAACAAAAAAGAGAAAGTTACATTTCTCTCGTAAAAATTGTCATATCAATATGACAGTATAATGTGGTCAATAACACATGATGACAACGAATCCTGCCAAATAACGAATATTTGTGTAAAAAGAGTTGCGTTAGTTAATTGTTATTGTCCTAATACTCCAAAAACGATCAGGGTACGGCAGCGGTGCACTTCCCCAGAACCATTACTTGTGCAGAACCGGAGTACGTTCTCAGAACCAATATAAGTCTTGCGCAGATATGTCTTTGATTGACATCTCACTCCCGTAAAATTAAGACAGATAACAACGACCCTGAAATAAAACATTAAAGTTGTTTGCATTAACAGAGCCGGCGTAATAAAAATGTCTACGTGGTGATTACGTTACCATGTGAGGTTATATAAGCTATATATTAAAATTTTATATGAATTACAAATTAGTATTTAAGTGAAATAAGCAGCCGATAAACTATTGTAATCTTACAAATATAGATTTAAGTTAATTAGAAAAACAGGAGACATGTAAAAACATCAAAGATAGATAACCCCAACATTAAATAGCTCAATTTCAATATGATATAGCTCTCTTATTTTTATCAAAATACATAATATGTATTTATACCCCACACTAGCTGACACGGATGATACATGAAACACCCGTTCGATATCGTTGTCACTGCTCCCTAGGGAACCTTAATTGGAACAAACACACATTGTATTGTATTGTATAATGTATTGTGTAGTGTATAGTTCGTAATTTACTCAGTACAAGATTTAGAGTATTCTTCAACAGTTTGCGAATTTGCGAGCGATGCCCCCGGAAATGAAAGTAGTGATTTTTATTTCATTTTTTTCAAATTGCCATTGGGTCACTTCCAAATATTCATTTCATGAATATGTTTCTTTTGAATTTCTTTCAGTATCTTCTCACCTTCTCTTCCAATTCCTTTCAGGGGCTTTTCCGTGTTGTCCCCTGAACTAACAGTAGAAAATATTTTGTTTTTAAATTTTAATGTCAATGGATACCACAGCTAGGTGACATTGAATTTTACCCCAATCACAATAAAAGTGTGCATTATTCAATCAATGAAAATTATTCAAACAACATTTTTTGTAGCCGAGCTAACATATAATTCATTAATATACCAAACGGTAATAAAAGAAGCGATATAACGTTTAAATATAATTTTAGTTATACTGATCATATGTGTAAAACAGTTGCTTGGATTAGAATACTTTTATCTATTTGTGAGAAAAAAATGTTGGTTCTGACAAGGCATACTTGTTTTTACCGAATATAACGAAAAGTTGTAGCAGGTCACTACCTAAAGTCTGCATTAAAAGACAACTATTCAAGAAAAGTATTAAAATATTTACTTAAAATAACTGTTTTTTCCTGAGGAGGAAACGACCAAAAGTCTACATAGAAATTTTGGTTCTGACACGGTATTCTTGGTTTTCAAAGTTATTCTGAAAAGGTATATGAGAAAGTCTGCACAGAAAGAAAATTATCCCAAAAAAGGTATTGTTATATTTACTGGAACACACGGTCTGTTCCGATAAGGTAACGATCTTAAGTATAAATAAAAAAAATGGTTTTGATAAGGTATTGTTTTTAGTTTAAATAACAGTTGGTTTTGAGGAGGTTAAACTTTAAACATTAGTTAATAACATTTGGTTCTGACAACTGACAAGGTACTGAGGAGGTAACGATATTAAGTCTACATAGAAATTTTGATTTTTACTGTAAATAACGGTTGTTTCTGAGGAGGCACCGACATAAAGTTTACTTAGAAAATTTGGTTCTGACAAGGTACTTATGTTTTTACTGTAAATTAAGGTTGGTTCTTAGGAGGTACCGACATAAAGTTTACTTATAAAAATTAGTTCTGACCTGGTATTGTTGTATTTACTGTAAATGAAGGTTGGTTCTGAGGAAGTACCAACATAAAGTTTACTTATAAAATTTGGTTCTGACAAGGTACTTATGTTTTTACTGTAAATTAAGGTTGGTTCTGAGGAGGTCCCGTCATTAAGTTTACTTATAAAAATTAGTTCTGACCAGGTATTGTTTTTTGTTACTGTAAATAAAGGTTTGTTATGAGGAGGTACCAAGTTGAACCTAAAATTTACTTAGAAAATTTAGTTCTGACAAGGTATTGTTGTTTTTACTGTAAATTAAGGTTGGTTCTGAGGAGGTACCGACATAAAGTTTACTTAATACGAAATTTGGTTCTGATTAGGTTTTATTTTTTGTACTGTAAATAACTGTTGGTTCTGAGGAGGTACCAACATAAAGTTTACTTATAAAATTTGATTCTGACAAGGTACTTATGTTTTTACTGTAAATTAAGGTTGGTTCTGAGGAGGTACCGACATAAAGTTTACTTATAAAAATTAGTTCTGACCAGGTATTGTTTTTTGTACTGTAAATAAAGATTGGTTCTGAGGAGGTACCAACATAAATTTTACTTAGAAATTTTAGTTCTGACCTGGTATGGTTGTTTTTACTGTAGATAACGGTTCGTTCTGAGGAGTTACCGACTTAAAGTTAAGTTAGAAAATTTGGTTCTGACAAGGTACTTATGTTTTTACTGTAAATTAAGATTGGTTCTAGGGAGGTAACGACATAAAGTTTACTTTTAAAAATTAATTCTGACCAGGTATTGTTGTTTTACTGTAAATAAAGGTTGGTTTTGAGGAAGTTACGACATAATTTAAAAGTTTACTTATTAAAATTAATTCTGACCAGGTATTGCTGTTTTACTGTAAATAAAGGTTGGTTCTGAGGAGGAACCGACATAAAGTTTATTGGGAAAATTTAGTTCTGACCAGGTAATTTTTTTTTACTGTAAATAAAGGATGGTTCTGAGGAGGTACCGTCGTAAAGTTTACTTAGGATATTTGATTCTGACAAGGTATTGGTTTTTTTTAACTGTAAATGAAGGTTGGTTCTGAAGAGGTACCGTCGTAAAGTTTACTTAGGAAATTTGATTCTGACAAGGTATGGTTGTTTTTACTATAAATAAAGATTGGTTCTGAGGAGGTACCAACATAAATTTTACTTAGAAATTTGATTCTGACAAGGTATTGTTGTTTAACTGTAAATAACTGTTGGTTCTGAGGAAGTACCAACATAAAGTTTACTTATAAAATTTGATTCTGACAAGGTACTTATGTTTTTACTGTAAATTAAGGTTGGTTCTGAGGAGGTACCGACCTAAAGTTTACTTATAAAAATTAGTTCTGCCAGGTATGATTGTTTTTACTGTAAATAAAGGTTGGTTCTAAGGAGGTACCGACATAAAGCTTAGTTATAAAATTTGGTTCTGACAAGGTATTGTTGTTTTACTGTAAATAACGGTTGGTTCTGAGGAAGTACCGACATATAAAGTTTACTTATAAAATTTGGTTCTGACAAGATTTTATTGTTTTTACTGTAAATAAAGGTTGGTTATGAGGAGGTACCAACATAAAATTTAATTAATAAGAAATTTGGTTCTGACAAAGTTTTGTTTTTTGTACTGTAAAGAAAGGTTGGTTCAGAGGAGGTACCGACCTAAAGTTTATTGAGAAATTTTAGTTCTGACCTGGTATGGTTGTTTTTACTGTAAATGAAGGTTGGTTCTGAGGAGGTACCGACCTAAGGTTTACTTAGAAAATTTGATTCTGACAAGGTATTGTTTTTTTTTACTGTAAATGAAGGTTGGTTCTGAGGAGGTACCGTCGTAAAGTTTACTTAGGAAATTTGGTTCTGACAAGGTATGGTTGTTTTTACTATCATAAAAGATTGGTTCTGAGGAGGTACCAACATAAATTTTACTTAGAAATTTTAGTTTTGACCTGGTATGGCTGTTTTTACTGTAGATAACGGTAGGTTCTGAGGAGGTACCGTCATAAAGTTAAGTTAGAAAATATGGTTCTGACAAGGTACTTAAGTTTTTACTGTAAATTAAGGTTGGTTCTGAGGAGGTAACGACATAAAGTTTACTTATAAAAATTAATTCTGACCAAGTATTGTTGTTTTTGCTGTTAATAAAGGTTGGTTGTGAGGAGGTACCGTCGTAAAGTTTACTTAGAAAATTTGATTCTGACAAGGTATTTTTTTTTTTAACTGTAAATGAAGGTTGGTTCTGAAGAGGTACCGTCGTAAAGTTTACTGAGAAAATTTGGTTCTGACAAGGTATGGTTGCTTTTACTATAAATAAAGATTGGTTCTGAGGAGGTACCAACATAAATTTTACTTAGACATTTGATTCTGACAAGGTATTATTGTTTTACTGTAAATAACTGTTGGTTCTGAGGAAGTACCAACATAAAGTTTACTTGTAAGAATTAGTTCTGACCAGGTATTGTTTTTTGTACTGTAAATAGAGGTTGGTTCTGAAGTGGTACCGACATAAAG